AAGGTCAAAATGGGTAAGAGAGTCCAGAGAGGCAGCTTCTCATTTCAATCCTCAGAGCAACAGGCAAGAAAAGAGCTTTGCAAATCGCTGTAGAAGAACTTCATGTCATAGATGAAAATTATTCTGACCTTTCTTTGAGCAATGGTGAGATGGGTGTTCACCATGCAAGGTCATTAGGCAATCACATTCAGACATGCAGAGAATATTGGTTCAATGCTTTTATTAGCAAAAATTCCTACTATCTGCTTCACTAAACACTTATCTTTCATTCACTATGCAGTGCTGCTTTGGTATTCATTATGGAGAGATATGTAATGCCTCATGTCCCTGAATAATAAATATATAGAAGTATAAAGATAGAAGTATAGAGGTATAAAAAAACCCAACACCAGTATACAGGCATAAAGCTTGGCTTTCAGACCTGACAGTGTTTCTCATTTTGCTCACCTACTCTGACGACCATCATCTCTGAACGGTCACAGTCAAAGGGCTGCCCTGCTGTGCACAGAGAAAGAGGGGAAAATAGTCATTTTACTGTCTGGAAAGTATCCTCTCCTTCTCATTCAATAATGTGATATTTCCCAATGAGTGTGCTTTCCTGAACAGCAGCTGAAGAAAAGACACACAATATCACAAGAAGTTTATAATTTTTCACACATTCAGCTGTTGGGTATGTAGATCTCTTCAGGAGTCAAGAATTGGAGGCAGGGCTTCAAATGCTGGCAGGGAGTTCTGGGTCAGAGTCCTGAGGTAGCTGGGGGTGATGGCTGTAATGAGAGGGAAGGGCATCCTCCTTCAGCTGCTGTGAAATAGGCATATTTTCTACCTGACTGAACTCCTGCACCTTCCTTTGGCTTACAGCATGAAAATAGCTTGTTCCTTCCCTATGTGTCATCCCAGTGCCAGCCTAGGCTCAGGTTTACATGAGACCTGGTATAAATCAAGTTTAAATGATCATCCTCTGGAACTACTGATATAAAATTTAATGTGGTATTTTTACCTTCAGCCCTTGCAGTTACTGGAATGCAGGTTAAAAGCTGCATTTATTGCAGGCATTTATTTTTATTAAGAACAGATCTTTGCAATCCATCAAAATCACTCAGCTTGTGAGGAAGTGCACTGTATCTCTCAGCTGTAGCTCTCAGCTGTAGTTGCCAGTAGCTGTGTTGCTAATCATACAGCATATACACCAACACATGGTGCAAAGCATGGATGGTGCAAAGCATGGGCTGTTGGAAACATCCTACAAGTCACCAGTGCTGGCTTAGGGCATGTTTTCTCTCCGCACCTGGCATCCAGTTGGGACAGACTGCTGTGCACAGGATGCTCCTCGGGATTGTCTGAAGTCCCAGGAAAACCTCTGCTGACAGAGGGGATGAGAGTTCATCCTTCCTGCAGTGCTTGCACAGGTGTTGAGGTGAGGAGAGGTGTTTTCCTACTGCCTCCTGTCTGGGATTTGGTGGGGCAATGTGGAGGGCAGGATTGGAAATTATATTTCCAGATGACATTTTTTGGGAGACAAGTAAAGAGAGGTTACCCTGTGCCTAGCTCTGTGCTAAGTAATGAGAAGCCATAAATGCAAAGCAGTTTCCTACTGTTATTTTTAAAGTAAGAATACAAAAGTGACAGACCCAGGTCAGAATGAAGCTGCACCATCCTTGGCAATCCAAAGGTAGTGCCTTTGGAAAAGTACAAGGACAGGGCAAACGTATACTGATTTCCCTCCCAAAATGCTCTCCTGGGCTATTTGTATTACAGTGATTTCCTGAACTGAGGCGGTGCCTTTTTTAGTAGCCTGTAATTTGCTTGCTTAAATTTGCCCATAAATTGCATCAAACTCTCATAACTTGCCTTGAAGCCATCAAGCTTTCCAGCACTGAGCTGTGGGTCAAGCCCAGGCTGTGGCAGCAGTCAGAGCTGCCCTAGGAAAGTCATTCCAAGGTTACACACTGACTTTGTTGTGGGACAGTCAGGCAAACCCTTGTGTCCCTTTGGCCTGTCTGGCCATCCTGCAGTCTGACTGCGTGTTTTTCCAGCCTTCCCAGGAGCTTCCTCCTGGCTGTCATGAGAGGTTGTGCTGTCATCTCCCACTGTCAGGCAGAGGCAGTTCTTGAGTGTTTGCTGTGCTCCTCTTCTGCTGGGAAACCCTCTTGCCTTCCAGGATCTACAGCAGCATGACAGTAAATGCCACCAAAGGTGCTTGCATTTCCCTTAGGAACAAGAAAGGAGAACCACGTCACAACTGGACTTGTAATTAAGGGTAATAACAACAGCTTATGTATTGAAGTTGTCTTAAAGTCTTTGCTGTATCAATTCCAGTATGTTATACTGAGATCTTTCCGTGCACAGCTCGATTGGGTCTTGTGTCAAAGCACTGTGTCATAAGTGTCAAGAGCAGGACAAAAAAACTGTGATCACTAACATTTAGTGTATTTCCTGACCATCACATATTTAATACTCCACCACTGCAAAAGAAAGAAACATTTCAGTCAAAGAAGTGCTCTAGGTCAGTAGCTCTTTAGTTTTGGGAGCTGGTAACTCTCAAGAGTTTCTGAGGTGACACCATCTACCTTTACCACCAAAGGAGAACCCGATACTGGCAATGCAGTGTGGTCTTCAGTGCTGGTCCATAGCCTCTGTCTCACAGCCTCATGGCCACCAACAGCCCACTCTCCAGGAAGCACTCCCTTCCCCAAGCAGGAAGGAAACATGGGCTGGACTTGTCTTCTGCAGCCTCTGCCAAGTTCTTCCACAAAAGGTTTATCTTGCCAGGGTTTGTTTAAAGCAGACTGAAAAGCAGAACCTGAAGCACTGGGCTTTCACAGTGGGTTTTGGTGCCAAATCCAGTGTAATTGTTGCATTTCCTTTCCCTGCCGAACTCCCTCCTTGCAGATAGCCTGTAATGTAACTTCCTGGGAATGTTTTGTTTTGGGAGATGGAAGAGACACCAAGGGTGTCCCTCAGAAGCATTACAGGGAAGAAAATGCACACTGCTAAAGCCAGAAGGATGTTCAGGATAGACAGAGCCTTTCCATTTGACTCCTGCTGTGTCAAGCCTGATGCTTTTAACCCTGAAAGGATACTCCCTGCAGTCACACAAGGCTTTTATTTGGTAAAAATCAGAGCCCCATAGCAGACTTTCAGGGGGTTCCTGAGCTGGCTGAGCATGACTGGAGAGTGAATACAACCACAGCAACACTGGACAATTTGGTAAATCAGGCACTGCAGGTTTGCTCTGATCTGATGTTTGACATTCAGTATTTGCATGAGAGTTTCAGGCAGGTGATGTTGAAGACTGGAAATTTTATAGTCTAATCTGTAAGTCCTACCATATGGAATGGATCTGTCTGAACAGAGCAGATACCTCTAGTGTTATTAAAAACACACAATTTTTAATATATTGCAAATAAATGCATTTACTGGAGGGTATGGCTGGGAGCCCGCTAGTTTTTTATCCTACAGCACATAGTGTGAACTACTGAGACAATAAGACCAGCAAAGTGAGTTGCTTTTTAGTCAGTGACGCTTACAAAGTTTTGACTAGGTAAAACATATTTGCCTTTGAAATAAAGAAGCTCCCAGCTACAGATATTTGTCACTAGGGTCCCCTATCGAGTGGTACCCTCTCCACTATGTGAGTAAGCAAACCCAATTTCATTCCCAGAAATGTCAGCTCCAATCAGTCTGATCACACTGGATTCTGAAATTGTGAAATTTGAAGTGCAGTGAAAAATTTGTACATTTGATTTTTTTTAGATTTTGTAAAAAATTGTAGTTTTATGTAGTAATAAACAAACCTTTACTTGCTTTGTGGGTTTTTTTGAGCTTAGAGGATGCTCCTGGACCACATCTTTAGGCTTTTATCTGTATCTTAGAGGGCTATGAGCCTGCTTTGTAAAAGTGGAGGGCAGGGAGTCTTCCATTATTACCAGCCTGAGGGAGCATGAAATTGAAAATATTTGCCATCACAAGACTTATGATAAAAGCATGAGAATTGCTAGACCCTTATGTCTGGTGAGGTATACAGGCAGGACTGGGACTAGTATTCTGCCCACGTGCAGGAAATCAAATGCCTGGACAAATCAACATTTGAAAATGTATTTTAGCAGCTGGGGTTTTTTTGGTGACCTTTGTTAGTATATGACCCTTACTAGAAGCTGTGAGGAATGCCATATATTCCCTTGTTACTCTGTGTATGGTTGTATATTTTTTTTCTTTATTAAAATCTGGACAGCGGAAAATGGACCAGATTCCACTCTGTTACTCCTGCTCAACTCCAGCAGCTGCATGGAGTGGTGGTGAAGTAACTGCTTTAATGGAGCACATCCAAAACCCCACTAATAACATGTATGATAAGAGATGTTATAAAAGTGCAGAGAGTAAATGTTTGGCAATTCTCCTCTAAGATGGCTACCTTGTACCAGTGACCTCATGGTCCAGTACAGCCTTTCCTCTCAAGAGTGCTGTGTATAAAGATGAGGGAAGTCCATTTTGGCATTGGTAGTACTTCTGAGGTGAGGCAGGATTTGCAGAACCACAGAATTTGGGGAAAAACATCAGGTTGGCAGGGACCTCAGTGGGTCATCTACTCCAAACCCCCTCTGAAAGCAGGCACTGACTGATGGCTGCAAGCTCATGCCTTCATCATGCTTATCTGCAGGATGCAGGTCAAGGTGCTTATTGTGGAGTTTACCTGTTAGACATCTGCAATAGGCACCTCAGCATCTGACCCAGCTCCCTCTTCTGTACTCATGGTCAACAGAGAGAAAACAGGAATCATAAGGGGTTTGTCTAGCTTCGGAGAAGCTGAGCCAGATGTGGTCAGGTGAATCCCACTCAGGAAAACACATCTGTGGTGTATTTCTTGCTCCTTTTTGATAAATGGTAACAGGGAAAATAGCAACATTGAGAAAACTGCCTTTGGATGAAAAACCTAAAATGAAAACTAAATTAAAAGCATTTTTTTTTTTCCTTTTTGTTTTTTCCTCTCCCTGGGGCAGATGAGCCACCTGCCATGCCTGGACTCCAGCCTGGCCATTGAGGAGATGCAGTCCCCCAGAATGGTGGGGAGGAAGAGAGGGCGGCCCCCACTCCAATCAGCCCCCATCAAAATGGCTGTTCACAACCTCTTCCCGGCACCGGCTGGGGCTTTGCCCATTGTGAAGATCCCAAAGAAGAGAGGGAGAAAACCTGGACACAAGGTAGATACGTGATTTTCACCGCCTCCTGCTGGTTTTCAATATATTTTCTCCTGGAATTTCAGTTGAAATGCAGGAATGGAGGCAAAGTTGTGCAAGCATGGGGCAGAGCAATGCAACATAAAAGAAGAAAAGATGGTTTCTCATCTATCTGAGCTGGCAAAAAATGGAGGGAATCTATTTTTCTAAAGTTTAAAGTTATCTTAATTTGGGTTGTGTCAAAATAAGTTGTGTCCCACAGTGTTGTGTGAGATGGCTGCACACCTTCAGGGAAGGGTTTCTCTCTCATTTGTCACTTTCATCTTCTCTCTCACTAACAGTGATTAGAAACTGAACAAAATGAATGGAAAAGGAAGCAAATACAGGAGAGTGGAAATGAAATGAGAAAAAAAAAGCTAATTTCCAACCCAAAAAGTAAGAAGGGGACATTTTAGAAAAATAATGAGATTTCAGTGATTATTGGTTTTTTCACTTTATGGGATAATCATGCCCGGCTCTCAACGCAACCTCAGTGTGCAGGCAGAGCTAAAGAAAGACAGAAACCCTGAGCACCTTAAGCCCTTCCAATGCTGCTAGTTAGCTGAGTCTCACCTGCAGGTGGGCTCAACACCAGTGGGAGCAGCACCACAGTTATGCCTCAGAGCAGGCAAAAATGGGACTGTGATGCTGAGGGGAGAATTTATCCTAGAGAGTGAAACTTAGATACGTTAGTGAGGGGTCTTGTGGTCAGTAGATTGTTCTGTTAATCTCTCCGTCTCTGTCCACAGCCACCTGGGGGGCCCATACATGTTTGCCCTCCCTGTTCCTTGTTTTTATTGGGCACGGATACAGACATGCAGACTGTTACACAAGGAGGGCAAATTGCTGACTGTGAGAAAATAATAGCTGCTTAAGTTCCTGATGTCAAGACAGAAAAGCGAATAGAACAATCATAGCATGCACAAGGCTGACCTAGCCTTTCCTAGAGAAAGTCTTGGCCTCGGGTGTTGTTTTGCTGTTCCCTGGGTCTCTCCTGTCATGGGGGGCAACAAGGTCCCATGCATGGTGCTGCTGGCTGAATTCCTTGAGTTTGGGCTTTATCTAGAGCAAGCTACCCTCATCCTTGTCTTTCCCTTTTCATCTCCTGCCAGACCTTCTTCCTCCTATCCTCTAACCTCCATCCAGCCTCTTCTCTTCTTTCAAGGCCTGCCCTCTTAACCACTTCTCTGCATCCTGTTTCCAGAATCCCCTAATCCTTGGCATCCTGCTGTGCAACACCTACCTAACAGCCATCAGTACCTCGGTCTTTAGTGTTTTACCCTCATCCTCTACCTTCTCCCATGTCTTTCCATGCTCTCCTGACTTTATCCATACTCCTCTCTGATATGGGGACACATTTTGAAGTTTCAGTGTTGTGTGTGCTGAGAATAGACTTTGCATGACTAAGAAACAGTTCCAGCTGCAGTTTCATATTTGAAAAGCTTTCACTTTGATAATGTGAATGATGTAACAGCAGCAGCCAAGCAAAGCCAACCTGACAGCAGTCAGGTGCCCCTTTTGGGATTACCACAGAATTTTATAGTAGTCCAAAATAGAGCTGCATGTCCAGACAAAGACTGGGGCAAATTCCCTAGTGTTTTGTAAAATGTGAAATATGGAAATACTTACTATTTTTCACTTCTGTATTAGGATAAAACTCCAGGACAGAAACATCTGAATTGCTTTACTTGGGGTACTTGTTATTACAAGTTCATTATTTAATATATTTATTTACTTTATTCATTTCAAGTAATTTAATTATTATCAGCAGAGCTGTATGACTTGTAGGCTCTTTAGATCAGAATCATCCAAGTCTGGAATAATAATATTTTGGAGATGTGGTGAAATTGAGTCTTTGAGGTGATTAAGTGATTTGCCAAATACCACAATGAAACTTTGTATGCAGAATTTCATCAAACACGATCCCTTCTGCCCCTGCTTGTCCTGCTGACCCTCATTTCTTACTCCTGCATTTACATTTGATCTGTAATTCAACAAAAACAATGCTGGGCAGTATGTTCTGTTCTACCCCAAATGTACCCATCCACCTGTGAAAAAGTCTTTCACCAACCACCACATATCTGTAAGCGGGAGAAGTGGGAGACTTACATTCCCTGAAATGCTGCAGTAATGCTCTGCTTTGGACCTACATGGCCAAGCACTTGATTGCTGTGTCCCCCTCTTCTTCCAAAGGGAAGCTTTTCCCCCAGCTGGGTACCACACACTCCTCCTCTCTGTCCCCAGGCACTTAGAAAGGAGGCAACAGCATTCCTCCTTCAGCAGGGAATCTGAGATGATGCTATTTCTTGGTGAGTGATGGCAAGTAAAGAGGCATCCTTCTATAACCCAATGGCTTAGGCTGAAGGAGCTGGCACCCATGAGCTGCAGTATCCGTGGCATCTGGCCTGGTGCTGTTTATTTGCGTTATAGGATTCATACACCGAAGTGTTTCTGTGAGGCTCCTTTGTACGCTGTGTGACCAGCTGAAGTGAATCCCTCTCTGTCAAAAACACTTCCCCAATGTGAGTCAAAGATTACATTTTTTGATGGGGAACTCTAGCTTGATTTAATTAGCTTGATAATTGTATGACTTTCAGATACCATGAGACTTAAATGCATTTTAAAAAATTACTCCCTGCCCAAATGGCAGACGACCAAATTCTTTATAGGAACCAGATAGCTGAATTATTACAGAACAGATGGGAAAATACTTCTGAATATTTAGCAAACTAGGAATTTACAGCCTAGATTTAAATTTATTTTGACTGAGATGCGAATAACAGATATTTTTCAGCACATGCTTTTTATAGACAGGTGACCCATTGCCATTGATATTAAAGCAAATATCTGTGTCTTCCTAAAATGACACTTCATCACACTTCACCACCAAGCAAAGTCCTTTTCCTTACTATCCTGTTTATTTTTTCACGGCTTTGGCTGTAACATATCATCAGCTGTTTTTCCAAAAACTGTTTTGTACCTTATGTGGAGCTATTTGCCATCAAATATTACATTTCCCCGAAACATTCTTTCTGATTGTCTGAATGTCTCGGAAAAAGCTTATTCTGATAGGTGGGGGGGGGGGGGAGGAGGAGAGGTTAGTAGATGGATGGGTTTTATTTCTCTGGCTATGAGTGAGAGAAGCCCTGAAGAGCTGCCTAGAAAGCCTGTACGAGGGAAGGGTTTGTTATAACATAGTGCAGGGATTTACAGTGTTAGAGGACACCAGAGGGACACACGCATGGGACAACACTGCAGCAAAGACCACAACATCCCTCCCAGAGGGCAACAAAGTGGTGGTCCCATATGAGAAGCTCAAGGGCAGTTTGTCCTTCTATGCAACCAAAGCAGCTCCCATCTGAGGAGGTGGCCCCAGCTCAGATCAGCCAGGACCTTGCAAGCTCCTGCCAAGCGAAAGTCACATAGTGGAGTGCCAATTTCCATTACGGGGTATAGGTTTCCCTACTGCCCTAGAAGTCACTACTGATGATGACAAATAAGCAGTTAGGATTTGGATACACTGGAAATGAGATTGCACAGACAACTTTAAAAGTGCCCTGATTCACCTGTCCTATGATACAGCCTTGGATTTCAAAGTTCTGTGTGCTCCTGTTAAGGTTACCTGCCTCATTCACTGCAAAACACTTAGGGGATGCAGGAGTGTGTAGGACGTGTGCAGACTTGCTTGCATTATTTACTGTGCAGAAGGTATTGCGTGACACAAGAAGAAAAGGTGGGAAAAACCTTGGATTGTGTTTTGCCTTTGCCAGGGTAGCACTGACCTCTCTGCCCCAGTAACTAAGCTTATCTTATGCTGAGTCTCCTCACTCACCAGCAAATGCAGAGACTCTGAGAGGTTTAGCCATGGACCCCAAGACATGTACTCAGAAGCTCTGCTTTCAAGGAGCAGGTTTAATGGCAACCTTTTGTCCAGTCATCAGAAGTCCACATGACAGGACCAGGCTGACTCAGGCATTCACCTTTGCGCTCATCTCTGTGCACATTTGCAGGGGCTGGAGGTGGTTTTCTCTCCAGCAGCAAAAGCTCACGTGGCCAGAAGTTGCCTCTGCCCTCCTGTCTGGAAGAACACGGGCCCATTGGGGGTGAGATGAATTCCAGCCTTTTCTAGCAAACGCTTTTTCAGGACAAGGACAAGTGGTGGAGAACAACTGAGAGCCATAAAGATGAGAACCTATGATCGAAGTGGTTTGAGAAATCTGCAAGTAAAATTTGTATTATTCATCATGTTTCTTTCCCATGTATTTTATTACACAAGTTGGCAGAGAACTTGTTCAGAAGAAAAAAAGTTACCTGGGAATGTTCTTCACCCGCTCACTTTTTTTGGTGTGGGATGACAGAAATACTAGCTAGATGAATTCTGACTGCTCTGTGTGCAGATCGTAGCAAAACCTCCAGGACTCAATAGGGTCTTCCTCATCCACAGCCACTGCATACTCAAACAAGCTTGTGGGCAGCATCTATGGCACAAAAGCCCACACTCTCTCTACATGTAAAGCATGGTGACCTTGGTGAAGCAGACGCACTAATTTCTTACCCTAAACCCCTGATCAGCTTTCTCTGATCTCTTTTCCAGGGTAGAGAGTCCATAACAGTGGGCTGTAACTGTGGTTGGTTGTAGATCTTGTTTTAAAGCAACCATTGCTTTTACATCTCATGCTGTGCCTATTAAAATTTATGACATTTGATATTCAAAAGCTGATTCATATGCCTTACCAAGAGGGTTTCCCAGAGTGCTCTGACAGATTTCCTCTGTCTCCTTTTCTCTCTCTCTTTCTCCCTTTTTCACTGTTTTTTTCACTTTAGTGCATATGTGCTCTCTACTGCCAAGCACTCAGTCAGTCAGCTGGTTGGTTGGGTTGGCTTTTCAATAGCAAAGGATCAGTCCAAGAAAAGACATCTTTAAATGCAATACTTGGAGATTTACACATCATGATATTCAAGGACTACTTATGGTTTCAGTGGCCAGGATGTAGCTAAGCTATGTTTGCTAGTGTACTGTCCCTTGCAATAATCAGGCATTGTTTTATTTTGATTTAATGAAGGCACCTTCTCTGCTACCCCTAGTAAAACAGCATTTATCTGTACCCAGAGGCTCTAGAGCTCATTCTGTCGCAATTAATTTTGCAGTAAACTGTTTGCTAAAACAGGAAACTGCCAAGAAGGGGCTTCCATGCTTAAGAGTTTACACAAGTCTTGCCCTCTGTTTGTTTGCTCTTGAATATAAGCCTGCCTAGGCCTCCAAGAGCCAGGTGGAGAATGAGGTCTACTGGACATTGTCCTGCCTCCACCAGGCTGATGGTGTTGGTGAGGCAGTGTATGGTGTTGGTGGGTCAGCACACACTCACGAGGTTCAAGGGCTAGAGAGGGGACTTGTGCACCTCTGTTTGGGACTACAGGGCTGTGAGCCATTAAGGATATTAAGGAGCCAACATGCAAGTGAAACAGAAGTCATCGGGTGTGCTGTCTCCAGAATAGTATCTATATAGCTAAATGCATGTGTGAGAGCACGTATAAGTTGCTGGATTGTGTCCAGAAAAGGACAACAAAGCTGGTAAAGGGTCTAGGGCACAAGTCTTATGAGGCACGGCTGAAGGAGCTGGGATTGTTAGCCTGGAGGAAAGGAGGCTCAGGAGGACCTTATAGCTCTATATAATTACCTGAAAGGAGGTTGGGGGGGTGGTCTCTTTTCCCAGGCAACAAGCTATAGGACAAGAGGAAATGGTGTCAAGCTGTGCCAGGGGAGGTTTAGGCTGGGTGTTGGGAAAAACTTCTTCACTGAAAGGGTGATCAAACATTGGAACATGGGAAGTGGTGGAATCACCGTCACTGGAAGTGTTCAGAAAACATGGACGTATGGTGTTTAGGGACATGGTTTAATCGTGTGTAAGGACTTTAAGAGCACAGTTACCTGTCTCAAGCATTGTTAAGGACACAGAAGGACTTTGCCATGAGATAATCACAGAGTCGAGTGACAGGATGGTGATAACTGCAGGCCTGGAGAAGGTGAGGTTTGGTTAGCACATCCTAGATAATGCATCCAGACAAAAATTCCCGTAGTGGTAAGCTGTGTAAAGAAGCAACTGCTTGTATGCGTATCACCAGTCAAACAAGGATCAGCACAACTTATGGGGTAGATGGCATCTCTGATCAGCAAAGCTTCCCCCTGAATAAGCCTCTGTTGATACCTGGAACTTGAACTGTAGATTAAGCCACCATGATGGGAACTTGAGACAAGATAAGAGTGGTGCTATTGTCTGGGGGTTATCTCAGACCTAGGGGGAGGTTAAGAAAGCAGGGGGGGGAAGGGGGGTGGGGAATAACGTATCACTGATAATGGACACAAAGAATGTAGAATTTATGGGCCACAGGGAAAGTCAGCTCAGGAATTGTACTGTAATCAGCTCCAACTGGGCAAAAGGTAATTCCAGCAGGGGCAGATTGCAACCACCAATCACAACCCCCCAAGTCAAGAAACTCATGGACTCAAAAGAAGAGAAAGACTGATCATGCAGACTTATGTTTAATCAATGGAATAAGAGAGCTCTCTTGAGTTCAATGAGTATTAATTCCTTTGTTTGCAAAAATGCATAAATAGTGAAAAGTTTTGAACTACCTCAGGACCCCACACCACTAAGAAGCCCCGGATCCACAGGTGGTGACTATCTTCTGCTTAATATCCTCTTTTCTATTTCTTTTTATCTCTCTACCTCACATTTTATTGTTAAATAAAATCCTTACTATTGATTTTAGCATATGGTCTAGTTTGCACCTTAATTTGGACAGAGGCATCTCTCACTAATTGGATCTTAACAGGATGGTCTTAGCAGTGTGAGGTTAGTGGTTGGACTTGATGATCTTAGAGGTCTTTTCCAATTTGAATGATTTTGTGATTCTATATGAACAAGTGTATATGTACATCTCTATAAACATACATACTTTTATATATGTATATAGTGAGTACAACTGCACATATGAATATGTGCATTTATCACATATGCACATATGTGTATGATCAAAAACAAGCCTGTCAGAAAAACAGCCCCTGTGTCAGGCTTCTGACACAGGGGCTACCCAAAGTTTCATGTTGCCAGCCCACTTTACCACAGAAAAGTGAGTAATCAACATGTTGCTATAGAAAATAATAAATAATGCTGCTTCTCACCTTCTCACATGGAATAAATCCCAAACTGGATGGAGACTTTGATTTTTGAAACTCTGTTCCACTCCCATTTTTTTTTAATTGTATGGAAAATAAACTGAGAGCACTTTGTTGCTGGTCATTCCTTATCCCAATCTGAAGGCAAGACAGCCCTCCAGAAACAGGACAAAGCAGGCAGCTGAGAACTGACACTAGCCACGGGCCAGCTCAGGGTCCCTTATACTCTATGACTACCACACAGCAGGAGGTCGAATTTGTAGTGTATCTTAGATTCACTTATTGAACATTTTCTCCCTTGTTCAGTTTGAAAACAAAGGGGTTTAGCCTGGCCCTGGGTAGGTGATGGTAAAAACTCGCTTGAATGTCAGTAAGTCCAACAGCCTTCCCTCTCCTTTCCCCAGCTTTATGATTTTTTACCATTATACTGAAACAGTGAGCATTATTTTAGACAGTTGTACTTAAAATCAGAGACAACGCAAATCTTCATCCAAAATGGCTTCTAGTCTCCACCACGAATTGTTTGTTTTGTAGGCAGTGGTCTGACTTAATTTCTACTTCAAATATACTTTGTACATTATACCGAGCTTGTGTATAAGCTCTGAGAGAAGCCCTTCAAATTTAACAGGACTAAAAATCCCTTTTCCTTCTTATCTTATCACTTACAGCATTTTCAACTTTGTCCACTGAAAAACAAAAGAAGCAAAAAAACCACCTCATCTCAGTGTAGTATATGTAAATATGTAAACATGTATGGCTCTCTATTTTCCCCCTGCCTCCCTTCTTAGCAAAAGAAAAGGCAAGAGTGGTACCTTCAGGTCACACCCATCACATCAGCTCTTTTAAATATGAGGACCTGATCATTGTTTGACTGGTGAGATATTGCCAGGTACTAGCAGTATAAAGACATAGTGATATTGCACCATAAATTTCCATTGTGTTTCACTTCTCCAAGCAGGGTCGCAGGTCACAAAGATCACTGGGTGCAACAGTGCAGCAGTTTGTATTTACTGCCTGGTAATAACACACTATGGACCACTGTCTGAGCTTATTTACATGGGTGTTAGCCCAGAGTAGCCGTTTGGTGCCACCGGATTTACACAAGATTTACACCTGTGCAACTAAGAGCAGAATTTGGCCCTAAATTATGATGTAGTTAAATACCCCATGTTTCTGAGTTGCAGATCATTATTTACACCCACATGAAATAGATTGTAAAATGCCATTACGTTGATTTGTTGGAGTGTTAGACTCAATTTGCTCAGGTGTAAATAACTGCCCGGTGGGTGGCATAATATTTGCATCCTGTAGCTTAAGGCGTTGCTGTCTGCTGCAAATCAGTCAGGCTTTAGGCTCCAGTATCCTCACGAGAGCAGAACGGATGCTCCTGGCCTGGAGAAAGTGATGCAATAGCAGACTGCTAATGAGTGTTCATGGGGCGTGACATACATGGAATAAAACTGGAATATCTTGTGTATGCTTCCATTATTTTTTGCAGCTGAAGTCTCGTGTCCTGATGACTCCCTTAGCAATCTCTCCACCGAGAAGCACGCCAGAGCCAGATATTAGTTCAATCCCTCAGGATGCAGCTACAATACCCAACTCGGACACCCCGCAGTCTCTCACAGGTACTCAGCCTCAAGTGCTCCTTGATCAAGGGGTGAGCAGGAGTCACGGGCTGACAGCCAGATGATGTGCTTCCCAGAACAGGTGGAGCTCATGAAGATGGGGTGTTTGAAGATTAGTCTGGCAACCAGTGACAAAAAGCAGAGATATCCTGCAAGACTATATTTTGACTGCCATGTGTCAAATTTAGTGGCGATGTCAGTTCCATTCCTCTTGAAATGGGAACTTGAAAACTCATTAATGCTCCATTTTATACCCAACACTCACCCCATCTAATATGTTGCAATGACCAGACTAAATCCCTGTATGAATGTGAAGCATCTGTTACAGCTGTGGGGAGAAGAAGAACAGAGGAGCCATGGTCTGACTGTAGGCAGAGTTACCAGCACATAAACCTCAATGCCTTATCACAGCAGCAGATGTGGTCATTTCCGAATGTAGTCAGAAAACACAGCCTTATTCATTTTTTTGTTTATATTATCAGAAGTGGCATAGGTCAATGCTTTTAAACTGATGTAAATGAGAAGAAAATCAACAAGACAGTTGATTTAGCCTGAGATTTCAGCAGAGAAATGGATTAGATAACATTAGAATCTAAACACAACACATAAATCCCGTTATTTCTTAGCTGGGATGCACAGAAGGGAAGTTTTCCATCTGCTCTGGTGGCAGAATGACACTAAACACAGCAACAATGACGATAATAATATATTTTATTCTCATTTATCCCTTCACATACAAAGTCTGCAAAGCACTTGGCAAACATCAGCCGAGTGGTGTTTCACAGCACTGCCCTGAGAGATGTGCCTGGGGCTGCTTCTGAAGGGGGATAGGGAGGCACAGTCCACACCAGTTCCACCAGATCACGGACTGGTGGCAAAGGCAGAGGTTCCGTGAATCTTTTCAGGCTCTGTGGATGCAGTGCCCCACATCTCTTTCTGCCCACCCCCATGGGCACCTTTTCTCCCAGTACCTTCCCAATGGTGAATGCAGCCTCCCACCAGAGCAGGGTTTGCAAGAGATGGAGGGAAGCTCTAGCTGGCTTTTGCCTGCCTATCTGCACCAAAAGGACCATAGGGATCCCTGCTCCCCAGTGAGGGACTCAGCACACTGCCTGCAGGCTGCAGAGTCTCTCCCACAGCTGCAGCTGACCCCGACAAAACCAGTCAGGGTCACAGCAGAAGTCACATTCTGCAGATTTGTTGAGGTGTGGCACGCTGGGAAAGCTGCACTCTGACATCCCCCTCCAATTCATGCATGCTGCTGCTGTATTTTAGTGCACTATTCCTTTGTTTGTTTGGCACTTGGAAGGTGTAAAGTGGTATGTAATGATAAGTATGATTGCTATTATACTCCTGTTTACCTAGGATATACTGCTTGAGCCCCTTCTGCCATTCCCTGCTAGATGGGGTAGCAGAGTGCACTGTGACAGTCGCACTAGATTTTCATTACAGTGATGCAAACCATAAATTATTTCCAACTTTACACAGCTGTCATCATGTCCTCCACTCCACTTGATGGGGTTTTTTTGTCACATATCTGATTTCTGTCAGAGGGTAATGTTATATTGTTTGAGAGATGACAGCTCGAGCACACTCAGCCAGCTATTATAATACGTCTCACTTTAGCCTGACTTAAAGCTGTGTCTTAGTTGCCCTTAGTTACAGCAGCGTTATCTCCACTTTCTCCAAGATACAGTTAGCCTCAGCCAAGTTTAAAATAAGTTCATGGTAGTGAGGAGAACACTGATCTTTTGGCTATTGATGGCAGGCCTGATGGCATGTAGAAAAACTGCCTCTGCAGGCAATGGCTTATGAGAAGAGGCATGCAGGGCTTGGCTGTGGAGAGGCTGGTACAGATTCCCTCACAAGACCCCCTGTGCAGCACAGTCTCTCTGCTGTGGTTCCTAATGGGGATGTAGCACTGCACACCATGTACAGTTTCCCTTGATACAATACAGTTTGTAGAGTGCTGGGTTGGTCATGGAGGGTCAGGAAGATCCCAAGGCCAGAGTCTCTGCTGTGGCACTGTGCAGCTCAGTGTGGCATAACCCTCCAGAAATTACAGCTGCATTAGTGTCAGAAGAAGCAAGGATCCGAAGTCTTTCCAAAACTCATCTCAGAGCAGTGCTTCTCAGAGTGGCTCTCAATGAACCAGTGTAAACATACATAGAGAAAATGAAACAAACAACTCCAAAACACACCTTGGGCTAGCATTCACCCCTTATTGTGAAGTCTCCCTTGTGAGTCACTGTCCTGCACTCCCAGGGCATTTTTCTGGTCACAAGCTGCATGGACAAGGTAGACTTAAGACCCCAGGCATACACAGGAGCTTCTTTAGATGCATGTAGCTTATCCTAAGCTGTGACACTGAGCTAGACCTAAACTCATCTTGCTTTGCTTTGGCAGTGAGTGATCAGTGTGAGGAAGTCTGGCTCTGCCATTGCAAATAGCAACAGTTCACCAGTGAATGCAAGAACTTTGAAAATAAATAGAAATTATATATAAAATATATATATATTATATATATAAATTATATTCTATATAAATAGAATATGACTCTAGTATTTTCTAGGATGCTCTCAGGACTGTTTTGTAATAACCTTGTTGGGATTTTATGTCTACAGTCTGCATTTATGTCAACAAACAAGCGAATCTGGGGCCGTACCTTGACAGAAAAAAGGTGCAGCAGCTGCCAGAGCGCTTTGGGCCAGAGCGGCCATCGGTGGCCCTGCAGCACGCAGTGCAAGCCTGCATCGACTGTGCGCTCCAGCAAAAGGTGGTCTTCTCCCTCATCAGGCAGGGCTATGGAGGCGAGATGGTGTCAGGTAAAGCACCTTTGTAAGGGGTTTGTGGCCAGTAGGAAAGTGCTTGAATTCTTAACCTAATCCCCAAACCTGACTGCCCTGGCTGTCCCATTCACATCAGTGGGCTGGTAACCAGCTTTGAACATCATTTACACCTTTGTAAAATGAGCTGCTGCAGGAATTGCTTTGGCATCAGATGAAAGAATATCAGTAAAGTGTATTGCAGTGTTGTTTCAGGAGAGGAACAGGCGCTTCAAAATCTGGCATTTACCACTCTTGGGAACAGTTCTGGGGCCTAGGGTGTGAGCTGAGGATTTCATGCAGCCATACAAGAATGAGCAGCAATGCCAGCCCACTTCATGACATACATTATCACCACAAGTACACATGCATGCCTCATGCAATGAGGGTGGTAAAACACTGGAACAGGTTGCCTGGAGAGGTAATGGATGCCCCGTTCTTGAAAGTGTTCAAGGCCAGGTTGGATAGGCCTTGGAGCAATCTGATCTATCTGAAGATTTCCCTGCTTACTGAAGGAGGGTTCGACTAAGTGACTTTTAAAGGTCCCTTCCAGATAAAACCATTCTATGACTTTGATTCTATGTTGCTCTAAAGGACAATTCTTATGGAGTTCAGCTACTGGTACATCCTGCCCCTGCAGTTCATGACCCAAACCTGCTCTCAGCTGCAGAAATTGCAAAAGTTCCATGGCAATTCCCCGTGCAGCAGGACTATGCAAGTATATCAGAGAGAATCAGAGATCAAGGGGGATTTCCCAGGAGTCCCTCATCTTCCTGCGGTGGCACTTCTTGCTGTGTCCTGATGAGTCTCTCGTGTCCCACACTAAATACCCTGGCCTGGCTCTCAGATTTAACATGAATTTTTTTTTTTATCACAGCTAGAGTTTTGTGTCACAACACTGTTTTGGCTCATGGGGATGCCGTGTGAATGAAACAATGGTGGGAATATGGAACAGAACTCTCCAATAAGATGCTGCAGATGAGTCAAGCCAAGGACTACAAGTCCAGCTTCACAGGGACTGCAGCTGCTCAGCTGTGCCATTGGGATCTTCTTGTGTGGGAGCCTAAGCGCTGGCCCTCTGTGCAACATATAAATCCTGCTTCTTCCCTCTCCTCTAGTTCTCTCTCATCACAGGTGTGCCTTCCCTATGGGACATCAGAAATAGTCTGAGAATGATCCAGACTTGTTCACAGAAACATGAGACTGAAGCAATTTAGTGCAAATCTTCATTTTTGCCTAGTTCTGTGCTGCATATATGATTTTCATTACAACCAGGACAGTCACGTTATGCACCAAGCCTGCCAAACTCCTTGGTTGCAGTTCCTCCGAGCTGACTCAACTTCAGCCTCACTTGAGTTAAAAGCACCTGGGTAACATTGCTTCCAACCTCATGCTTCTTCTAGTCATTAAGGAGGGGTGAATGGCCTCCTAGTCATGGCATGGCTCTGCAATTGCACCTCACTCCCAGCTCAGCAGCAGCGCAGACAAATTTTGTCACGGGCTTTCCAATCTTCCCACGGCTTGACTCACAGATGTTCAACTGGCTGTGGAGCACGATCCCTCACAGCAACTCAGGCCAACAGGAAATCTCTGAAGTTATCCCAAAAATTATAAGTCTAACGTTATGATTTGTCCTTGTTAGCAGTGATAGGAGGCTGTAGGATTGGGAAAAAACCTCCCAGGTGGAGGAGTCCAGGCAGCTACATCATGTAGTCCTTTCTACAGACCTGTTGACACTGTATGTGTCCTGCTATAACTGATTCTGGTGGGTTTGTTGTGACCCCTCCACCTCTCCCAGGTTCCTGGCTAAACATATCCCCTGACAGCTTTGCCCAGGAATTTTAATTGCTCTTTTCTCTCCCCTGAGTTCAATTTTAGATGTATTTGTGGAGAGCTGGATGACCAGAGTGGTTCCCATCAGTCCATCTCAGGTTTCACCAGGACGTTATATAGTGGCATTAACAATCCCTTTTCTCTCCTGGAAATGCTTTTTTCTACATCTTCTTGAAGTGTATCTGACTTTTTTATCACTGTGTTACCTCGGTGACTTATTGTCATCTGGTGAGCTTGTTTAATCATTTCTTCTCTCATCAGGTTGTACTGAGTCTCCTCAAATAGTTATGGATTGCTGTGTACATTCTAGAATTTTTTTCTACTAATTTTTGCTATTACAGAATTCAAAATTAGTCAATCCTTTCTGTGCAATCTTCCAATCTTCTTTTCCATTGATAATGTCTTCTAGCTTACAGCATCCACAAAATCTTTTTGTGCCAGCGCAGACTACTGCAGCTCCCTCTCCAGGACTTGAAGTGTCCTGCCAGCAGACTCTGTTGTTGTTTCTTGACCCACCTTTCGTATGCCATGATTTCCAGTTTAATGAAAGATTCCTCACACTTTACTGAATTCTGGATAGAACACAACTGCTAACCTTCCCTTGCCTATAAATGCAATTAACTCAGTGAGTACAGATCCACGATGAAGCTGTTCCCTCTCTCTTCAGTACAACCTTGGTACGTTTTACTCATTCAGAGCCATGTCTTTAATTATCTCCCCATTATCTTTTAAAATCTTGGGTATTGCTGAAGACAGCCAAATAACCCATCACTGTTAGTGATCACTGCAGATCACTTTCTTTCCCCTTCCTTAGACCAGGGTATCATAATTGCCTCCAATCACACAATACAGTTTTCAGATGGATGCATATATTAGAAATCCTTGCACGGCTGGCCATGCTAGTCAGCATCTTTCAGCACTCTAGGGGGAAGGTGATTTGGGTCAAAAAAACTCAGCTCCTTAAGCTCCTCCAGTTTGTTATGTGCCTCAGGTAAGGTAATTATGCAAAATATTTTAAGACATGCAAACACTTGAGTAAAATCATTTCCCTTGCTCTCATTCTTCTTCTTGCCATGCATCCCCAGGTATTGAATTGCTCCTGTTTGCTTTCCAGTTTCAGCTTCTTTTGAGGGGAAGCAGCATCTCCAGAGCCTACTGGTAGTGAACAGCATTGGATATGTCCTACGTTTCCTGAAGAAGCTGTGTCGCAGCCTCTTGTGCGACAATCTCTTCAGCAACCAACCTTTCCAGCAGTACAACGCTGTGATGGAAAGCCCGGAGGTGTATGAAAACAGACGGGTGGAGGCAGGTAGGCTGCTTGATCAGCTTTTGCTCAAGATTTAACAGACCTAAAGAAATTACTGTCTTTGGGGGGGTGCTGTACTGTATATGATAGAGAACCGCAGGCCTTTCCAGAGGAAGGCAGCAGGCTGATTGGCAGTATTTTTCCCAGTAGCTATGGAGGAGGCTTTCAGCTGAGCACCACTGTGTTGAGGAGCAACAGGGATAGGGATAATTTTAAAATTATTTTATATTTTTATGTTTCTTTTATCTCTTTTCCTAAGGAAACAAGACTTGTATGCTATCGTTGTCTTTGTTTCTGTCAATTTTCTCCTGTAACTTTTAGCCTCCTCAAGCATACCTGACTGTGAGGTAGAAGCCTCAAATGGATTAAGTTCCTTCAAGTTTCAGGCAGGCAGGAAGGTAGAGGGGAAATTTTCCTTTTTTCATAGCATTCAACCACCATATTAGACACTAAAGTATCCCCACTGACTACCAAGCCCTCTCTGTTTACAGCCCCTCCGCACAATGATGCCTGTCCCGGGTCCTCATACCCCTCTGTTCATGTGCTGCCTTGGCTCATTGCCTACAGGGGGAGTGGGAGGCTGGGTGAGTGTGTGGATCCCAATCCACACTTTGTCGTCATCACGGCATGCCATAACAGGTATTCTCTGACCTGGCACTGCTCCAGCACCTGTGTGCTTCCCAGCTTGCATGCAGCTTTTTTTAAGGATCACCTGCAAAGCAGGACGGTCTGCCTTCACTCGAGTGGGCCTCTTACTGGGTGAGGGTGGGGAGCCACCTGCAGCACTGCAGTTTTGGGTCAAGGTTACCAGGATAAACCTAGGGTACACATTATTAGCAGTAACACAGTAAGACTGGATCCTGATCTGTCACCTCCATCCATGAGTGTAAACCTAAATGAGTTGTGACTGCTAAGTGGTTTGCTTTGCTACTTTCAGGAATGTTTCTCCTTAAAAAATCTCTGGCCACCAGCAAGTTCCTTCTCTTAGTGCTAGACCATGTGGGACAAAGAATGAAGGGGCTATGGTGTGGGGCAGATGCACCCAAGGATGGTGGTGGCCCAGAGAGCTACCTGCCCAGAGCAACACTGGACTCCCAGATGCATGGGACCTGAGGTTCCTTCTTGCCCACACCACAGTATGTTGGGATGGGGTGTGGCCCCAGGCAGCCCCCATGGAATTGGGGTATGCTTGCAGCCTCCATCTGCAATCAGTGGCTAGAAGGTTGCCCGGGGGCCCTCTATGGACTTTGCAAAAACTAGTTTAGTAAAAAGGAAAAATGCAAATTATGGGCATGAGCCTTCATTTCACCTGCAGGCTTCCTCCTGACTTAAATTATTTTTCCTTTTCTTTTATTAACAACACTGTGGGTGTCTCTCATGCATTCAGTTTAATGGCAGATACATGCTGGCCAAGAGAAAGGTGTTTTAGTGTCCACAATTATGAATGGTTTGTTTGCCAGGAAGACCCTAAGTGTGAAGACTGCACACCAAAGCTGGAGAGGGCTGTGCACACAGTGCAGAAATATTCTTTTTGTGCAAAGAAATCCAGCTGCCACTCTTTCACATAGGAGAGGAAAGGCAGGAGCCCAGACTGAAAAGCAGTATTTTTCTCTTGACTACGACATTTGCAGCAAGCTGAATGTTTCTGAGAGGTCAAGGGATTTCTGTAGCACTGAGCGAATGCAGCCCAGGAGGCCTGGCATTTGTGTTTGCATTCTAATTTGCATGTACATTTGCATTTACTTTTGCACAGCATGGGATAGAAGGCAGCTCCACAACCGGAGTTTTTACAGTTGCTGTTACACCATGAGAATCTCCCTCCCCACAAAATTTCAGTGCAGATGTCCCTGGCACCATTCCCATCGGATCTCCCCAGACGCGGAGGAAGGGGCTAAATATTTTTTTTCCCTCAAACTGGACAGGAGATGTAGGTGTAGGCAAGGCTTCTGTTTCCTGGGTCTCCTACTGGGTCTATGGGGGGGACAATTAAAAGCTTCCCAGAAGCAGCATGGGCTGGGAGTCTGGGCTAGCCAGGGAGGTTTAGATTAGGTATTAGGAAGAAATTTACTGTGAGAGTGGTGAGGAAACAGGTTGCTCAGAGAAGCTGTAGATGCTCCATCTCTGAAAGTGTTCAAGGCCAGGTTGGATGGGGCCCTGGGCAAACTGGTCTAGTGGGTGGCATCCCTGCCCATGTCTGGAGGTGAGAAGTTGGAACTAGATGATCTCTAAGGTGCCTTCCAACCCAAAGCACTCTATGATTCTATGGAAGAGCTATCTGATCCTGCAGTGAGAGAGGCTGTGATAAGCAGTGCTCTTTCCAGAGCATTTGGGTGCTCAAGTGGCTGTTTGAGCTGACAGCCCCAAGAGGGAATGCTCCTTCCAACAAAGATTAACTGGAAAATGATGAGACAGGATTTGAGGACAGTTTCAGCTCTACTGACGCCTGTCCCATGGCCTGTGGGGATGGTGGAAGGAGAGATCAGCAGCTTCGCCATCTAATCCACTGCGTGCCTGTGGGCCCCAAGATGCAAGCTGAAAAGATGGGGGCTGGTTTCCATGCAGCCAGGTAGTTGTCTGGAAAACCCAGCTACTAGATTATTTCTCAGTCCTAAAGCACACATGAAGGCATGGAAGGAGAAATTAACTCTGCCGCATAAAGCACTTGAAATGGGGAATTTTGGAGAGGGGAAAAGCTGCCTCTTCCCCAGGGCAAGTAGTGCCCAGCTCAGGAGCTGTTTGTCCATGTCTGTGTGGTAGAGGAACTGGAGTGATGGTCCCTCACCCTTTGTGTTGTACTCAGATGGAATCAGGCAGGTACACAGCATTCCTGTTCATTGTGTCTGTTTGTATACAACAGCTCCACTGGCACCACTGGAGTAACTCCAGTTTGAGGCACTGAGTCTATGTTTAATGGTTTATTGCCTAAATCTCCTTCCGTCTCCACAGGAGCTAGCATTTCTCTGCACGAAGGTCAGCACAGGGGGGTCCTCTGCTACACAGGGCAGAGACAGGGTCTCCCCATAGTAACAATAAGGACAGTAGGAGCTCTGCTTGCAGACAGGTCTGTCAGATGCCTGTTGGGATAAAGCTTGTATGGAAGAAGCAGGACCATAACAAAACACCACAGGAACCCATGAAAAACAGCCACATTTTTCATTCTTTATGTTCTCCAGCTTGTAATCAAGATGTTCTTTCTTTTAAAATCACGTGTTTTTCAGCCCCTGTGCACCAATGAATCTAATACATGTATTGACTTTGGTGCATTTACTCTTGATTTACACTGTCAGAAATGAGAGAAGCCAGCATCATATCCACTCATATTAATCCACTTACACCATACAGAAGTCACCTTTTAACCTTGCCCCAAAGCACGTGCTCTTAAGCCTTTATTCATCTATGCTCACAGCAAACTGCCAGATGCTAATGGCTGTGTACAGGCCAGGTGGGATTTGTTGACATATGCATACATCACTTACAACCGTGTTTTACGCGTCTAAGTACACACTCACCACGCTGTACCTAGTGCTGGCCTCTGCAATGAGCCTTGTCGGCTGTGCATTACCCTCCCTGCACCTGAGCCCCAGCTCTGCCTGCCCTGCCAATGCCTCTCACACCAGCATCCCGTAGCCCCATGGTAGGGTGAGGGCTCCTCTCCAGCCCTCTCCCAATGTCAGTGGCTTCACTGCCTTGTCCTGGCACAACTGCGGACATTCCTATATCTCTTTCTTGGATGTGAAGGGACTTTCTGGCTCACTAGAGCACTTTGTGGGCAGCAGCTGTGGGATGACTCCCAGGACTTCATCTGGGAAATCCTGGCTTCAGGTCTGCATTACAGCAAATCCTGAGATGTTACCTGTCCCCACAGCACCTGGGTTCAAAGCACCTCTGAACTTGCACCCCAGAATTTTCCATGACAGCAGCAGTGTAGCTTGAGCTAAAATGATGGCAAGAGCTGGGTGACCTGTGCAGAAAATGCTGTGGAGTTTGCCCGGGACTACATGATGGAAAGCCACCAGAGATCCTGTTGCCTCCATACACACAGTTTGTGGTCAGCTTTCATTATTTCTCTCTGTGCTGTTTTAAAAGTAAACCGGCAGGAGAAAAGGACGCAACTCAAGAGAGATTACAAGTCAGAGTTATAATATACTAAAAGAGATTACAATAAATACAATGATACAGAGAAAAACTGGTTTTAACCCCCAGAAACAGACGTATAACCCAGCACCCTGGGACAAGAACAGAACAGTGTTCGTTGGCCCCTGTGCTGAGCACCACATGGCCCCCCTGGGTGAAAAGTAAAAGGAAAGGAAAACCGTGCTCTCTGGCCCAGGTGTCTATGGGGTTGTTCTTGAAATGGGTCTCATTGTCAGATTCAATTCTCTCCGTGGTGCTGTGCCACCTTTTCACAGGCAGTGGTGTGAGGCACTGGGTATGTCCCCAGCCTTGATCTTCTCCCCATGGCCAAATCAAATTTGTGTGCTTAGACACCATATGGAGTTCCCTACCACTGTCCACAGGAGAACAGCATCTCTTCTTGTGGCACTTCCTGGAGGTAGGGATCTGTATGGAGCATATGGATGTATGTGGATCTATATGGAGCAGAAGCACAGCAGAGGTAGAGGTAGAGGTACCCTATGCTACATTAGCACCTCTGTCTATAGGAAGGTGAGCTCTTCCTATCCACAAGCACTTGAAAAGCTGGTATGAGAAGTGCTATAGCAATGCACAGTAGGAGAGTGACTAGTGGGCAGGATACTAGCCTGGGAGCTGGATTTTTATAAGACTTTCCCATTGACTGTGTGGGCAAGTCACCCTTCCATGCTGTGCTTTTATTTGAGCATTTGTCGAAGGAGGGCAATAATTCTTGTCACCATGTGCAAAGCCCTTCTGAAACAGCCAGGAAAAACGAATAATATGATAGAAAACCACATATTATTACAATCAATATTTTCAGTCCTAAGCAACAAATAAACAGCAGCTCAGAAATTTCAAGCCCTGAGAGG